TTCATCTCTAAAAATAGCTGGGTGTTGTGGCAGGCACCTACAGTCCCAGCTACTTGGGAGGCTGAGGCAAGAGAATTGCTTGAGCCCAAGAGTTTAAGGTTGCGTGAGTTGTGATGTCACAGCACTCTATGGGTGACAAAGTGAGACTCTGTCTTTAAAAAAAAAAAATCAAAAAAATCTAAAAAGGTTTTATTTCCAAATTAAGACAATTTCCAATTGTCTTTTTAAACCAAACTTCTATTAAGATAGTAATGATACATACACTAGAGAGAAACAAGTGGGAATAGTTTTTAGTTTACACAACTTTCCTTTATTCATTTGCAAACTGACATGCCCCAGGTTAGCTATAATCCATCAGCCCATAAGCATTTAAGTTATTGCTTATTTACAAATGAGCACAGTTCCCTGTGCTCTAAGAGTCACTTCCATTTGATCAAGAACACTATATTTTCTACATAAAATGTTGACTTTATTGGCTTGGTACCCGTAGCTCAGTGAGTTGGGCCCCAGCCACATACACCAAGGCTGGCGGGTCTGAGCCCAGCCCAGGCCTGCTGAACAACAAAGACAACTGCAACCAAAAAACAGCCGGGCATTGTGGCAGGCACCTGTAGTCCCAGCTACTCGGAAGGCTGAGGCAAGAGAATCGCTTAAGTCTAAGTGATTGAGGTTGCTGTGAGCTGTAACGCCACAGCACTTTACCGAGGACGACATAGTGAGACTCTGTCTCAGAAAAAAAAAAAAAAGTTGACTTTAATGTATAAAGTTACTAAATTATTACACTAAATAAACCTTACCTGCAGTTTCCTAGCACTTTGCTGTTGACGCTTGTCCTTCTCAATCATCTGCTGGTAGAGTCTAGCTCTCAACACACGCAAAGCTATTTCTTTATTTTTTATTTGTGACCGTTCTTGTTGACATTCTACTCCTAGCCCTGAAAAATAACAGGGAGCAGAGGTAAACCATAGCCCCAAGGGCCAATTAAGATACAAGTGAGAAGCATGTTAAAGGGGAGGGGTTAATCAGGAAAAGATCTCAAAAAATCAAAGCATTTTAGATAGAGCACATTTCAGAAACTCTACTTGGGTTGTAATGGTAATAGCTGCAGATGGCTGTTTAGATTCTGATATGGAAATAAGATGTTTAAAATAAGACTGAAAGCAGGAGAAGGTTACATTCCCCACACTCTGACTCTCCCCTCTAACTCAGGCATTTCTGCAGCTCAACAAAGCACCAACTACTGCCACCATGTAGCCCTGTTCCATTCTCTGTCCTGCCAAAAAAACCACCTTAGGCCAGTTTCACTGATATAGTGGTAAATAATTTGCTGGAGACTAAACAATTTCTATAAAATTGTACTCTCAATATGGTTTCTCCCTGTCTAAATAAGCCATAGTCTATACTCCCCACTACGTAGGGCACCTAGGTTTTACCTCTACTAGTTTAAACTCATTTTTTATTTGTGACCGTTCTTTTTTTTTTTTTTTTTTTGAGACAAAGTCTCACTATGTTGCCCTGGGTAGAATGCCGTGGCATCACAGCTCACAGTAACCTCTAACTCTTGGTCTTAGGCGATTCTCTTGCCTCGGCCTCCCAAATAGATGGGACAACAGGGGCCTGCCACAACACCTTGCTATTTTTTGGTTGTAGTTGTCATTGTTGTTTGGCAGGCCCGGGCTGGATTTGAACCTGCCAGCTGCAGTGTATGTGGCTGGTGTCCAAGCTGCTGAGCTATAGGTACTGAGCCAAAACTCATTTCTTGACTGCTCTGCTGGAGGTATCTGCTTGTGCAAGGTGTGTCAATTTGTCTCCACCTTCCAGGTGTCTGCCTGGTGTCTCTTGAATCTGGTATCCTCTTTTCACTACCCAAAAGAAGATGAAAATTTCCATGTCAAGATTTCTAGACTTGCCTGAATTTTTCTCCATATTTCTCTTCTTGTTGGCTGGCTAGTAATAATTTTTGCCTAAGTAGTTATCCTATTCTTAGTTATTGGCTCAGAACTTTTGCCTTAAAATTATTACTTAACAGCTTAGTAACTCCTAAGTGAATCACTTGATCATGTAATTTAATATACTTTCTATAGTGAAATAAAATCCTGTAACCTTGGCTTGGTGCCTGTAGCTCAGAGGCTAGGGTGCTAGCCACATACACTGGAGCTGGTGGGTTCAAATCCAGCCCAGGCCTGCCAAACAACAATGACAACTCCAACCAACTAGCTGGGCATTGTGGCAAGCACCTATAGTCTCAGGTCCCTGGGAGGCCAAGGCAAGAGAATCGCTTAAGCCCAAGAGTTAAAGGTTGCTGTGAACTGTAATGCCACGGCACTCTACCGAAGGTGACATAGTGAGACTCTGTCTCAAAAAAAACCCTGGTAACCTTGAAAATACAAACTGATGTAAAAGATTAAATCTGACTTGTAAGATTTAGGTGTTATCAATAACTTATGATAATGAAAGAAGGTAGTGTTAAGAATTAACAGAGGCCTACTTTTGGGCGGCACCTATGGCTCAGTGAGTAGGGCACCGACCCCAAATACTGGGTGGGTTCAAAGCCCTGGCCAAACTGCAACAACAACAACAACAACAAAAATAGCTGGGTATTGTGGCGAGTGCCTGTTGTCCCAGTTACTGGGGAGGCTGAGGCAAGAGAATCACCTAAGCCCAGGAGTTGGAGGTTGCCGTGAGTTGTGATGCCACGGCACTCTACCAAGGGCAATAAAGTGAGACTCTGTCTCTTAAAAAAAAAAGAATTCCAGAGGCCTACTTTTACTTACCATCTGGTAACAAATTAAAAAGCCTATTTTAAAAGGTAAAATACTCATCTGTCTTCCTTATTACTTTGATGAATTTTACCAAAAAAAGTAATTTTTCCCTGTATAAACATTTAACCATACTCCATGTGTAACTCTTCTGGTGGCCAAAAATGGAAGCAGCAGGTTAGGAAAAATGCAATTCTTCACAGTCTGTGGCATGGAGAATATGTAGAAATGACCTACAGTTCTCACTTTGAATTCTAGCAGGGACACAGTTCCATCTGAAGGGTCTTGGTATGGAGGAAACAAAAGAAGAAATAGAAAAAAAGCTGCATTTTCCCTGAAGTAGATGCTAAAATCATGGCCAATCTTGAAATATAAAGCAGCAGACGCAAGCCAGGTGCAGTGGCTCACACTTGTAATCCCAGTACTCTGGGAGGCCTTGGTGGGAAGACCACTTACAAGCCTGAGCAAGACTGAGACGCCATTTCTACTTAAAAAAAAAAAAAAATTGAAAAATTAGCTAGGCATGGTTTATGCCTGTAGTCCAAGCTAATTGGCTGAGGCAAGAGGATCACTTGAGGCCAGGACTTTGAGGTTGCAGTGACCCATGATGAATGCCACTACACTTTACTTGGAGAGACAGAAGAAAAAACTCTGTCTCAAAAAAGAAGTAAACTCAAGAAATCACTTGCTCATAACCACATGGATTCATAAGTGTTGGTAGGTCTTGGTATGCCTGGCCTAAGGGCAAGGCTTTGGGGTAAGCCATATGGCTTCTTCTAAATCAAAGAACTGGACCTAAGTGGCTAAAAGATAATTTGGCCCAAGGTAAGTTTGGCATCACAATGATAAGTCACTTTTTTCCCTTTTTAGTTGCTACATGATAAATGTACATATTTATGGGATACAGAGTGATATTTTCTATGTGTATACAATGTAGAATGACCAAATAATTTATTAACGCAACAGAGCCTAAAGGAGTTAGCAGCTGATCTACAAGGTGACAAAGATCCATAGCGGTGCATGTCTAACACTGCTCTGTGTCTCACTTGTACTAAGGCTGGGGTACCTCTGGTTGCCCACCCCTGTCCACCCCTGGGAAACTTCTCTGAATAGATCTGCTCACTCTCTGCATCCTTTCAGGGGGGTGCCTTTCCTGAACAGAAGGAGACTGTGAACACAATAGGGACCTCCAATCTACAGCTCTAACGACATCTTTAAAGGTTGTACAAGTAATCAAACCCTAACACAGGACTATTTTCTTCAAAATGCTGAATAGTTTTTTTTTTGTTGTTGTTTTTTTTGCCTGGGCTGGGTTTGAACCTGCCACCTCTGGCACATTGGGCCAGCGCCCTACACTTTTGAGCCACAAGCACCACCAATGCTGAATAGTTTTACAAGATAGAAGAAAAGGTTAAAAGTAGAAAAGTCCAGGGACCTGCTTACCTGTAGGGATATGGACAAGTCTAACGGCACTGTCTGTTGTATTAACATGCTGCCCTCCTGCTCCCTTTGCTCGAAATGTATCTATTCGCAAATCCTTGGGGTCCAATTTCACATCTACCTAGGGGGAAAAAAATAGAATAAATGTACACTCTATGAATACTAAGCCTATTCAAAAAATTTTCAAATAAACTGTACTGTTTTGAACTAAGTCATAGCCATTAGACTGAGAGAAGTAACCTACAACAAAGAAAGAACCATAAACTCCCCATTCTAATGGGATACTAGTTTTTAACAGACTTAGGATATTATGAGATCACTGAGTTATGTAACCTTTCAAAAGTTTTATCATCCATTATCCCAGAGTTACATAAAATAGAGTATACAATGTATATATATACAGGGTGTCCATTAAGTTGGTGCATCATTTAAAATAGTTATAACTTTGTATTCAATTTTAGAACATTGTGATAACCCCAAAAGTTAGAACTATTTTTAAATTGTACATGAACTTTACGGACACCCTGTATATATATACTGAGTCTCATTATTCCTGGAATCCCTACATGAAAATTTGCCTGCTCACTAAAACTTACTTGTATCCCCAAATCAATACTTTCAGTACTTTTACAGTCGTCTGCAAACATGTGTAAAGTATGTTTTTTCCTTTGAGACACAGTCTCACTCTTTTGCCCCAGGCTAGAGTGCTGTGGCATCAGTTTAAAATTTATGGGTTCAAATGATCCTCCTGCCTCGGCATCTCGTATACCTAGGACTAGAGGTGACCACCACAACCCCCTGCAAATTTTTTTATTTTTAGTGGAAATGAGGTCTGGCTCTTGTTCAGGCTAGGCTTAAATTCCTGAGCTCAAGGGAGCCTCCTGCCTCAGCCTTCCAGAGTGCTGGGATTAAAGGAGTGAGCAACTGTGCCTGGCCCTAGCGGTGACAAATCTTGAGTTGCTATATATTTGCACATTCCCAGCAGAAGTAGGACAAGGTGACACTCTGCCTTTTTATTCTAGCTCTCCTGCAGAGAATGGAGACCAGGACAGTGTAGTGTAAGACGCTCTGGGCTTTGGGGCCGGTTGGAGGAGATAGAATCCCAACTCTGACATCTGTTAGTGGGGAGGCCTCAGGCAAGTCACTTGAGGCTTCCAAGCCTTCTTTTCTCTTTTGTATAGTAAGAAAAAGACAATTTACCAGGATTTGTTAATTGTAGGATTTTGTTCTAAAATTGAAAGGTATAATGTCAAGCCAAGGAGCAACCAGAAGCTGGAAGATGCAAGGAGGATTCTCCCCCAAAACCTTCAGGGGAGCACAACCCTGCTGACACCTTGATTTTGGATGTGCAACGTTTAAAACTGTGAGAGAATAAATTATTGTTGTTTTAAGCTACCAAGTTTATGATAATCTGTTATGGTAGCCTTCACAAACTAATACGTATACATGGTGTCCACAAAGTTTGCGTGCAATTCAAAATAGCTGGGCAGTGCCTGTGGCTCAGTGCAGGCCCCATATACCGAGGGTGGCGGGTTCAGGCTTGGCCCCAGCCAAACTGCAACAAAGAAATGGCTGGGTGTTGTGGTGGGTACCTGTGGTCCCACCTGCTTGGGAGGCTGAAGCAGAAGAATGGCCTAAGCCCAGGAGCTGGAGATTGCTGTGAGCTGTGGCACCATAGCACTCTACCAAGGGCAATAGAATGAGACTCTGTCTCTAAAAAAAAAAAAAAAAAAGTTGTCTCTATATAAAAACAATGAAATAGTTACCAAATATGCTGTTTTTTTTTTTTTTTTGGCCGGGGCTGGGTTTGAACCTGCCACCTCTGGCATATGGGGCTGGCGCCCCACCATTTGAGCCACAGACGCTGCCCAAATATGCTGTTTTTGATGGGAGATCTAACATTTTGTTCCACATTTGTTATTTTGACAGATAGCAAATGTGACTTTTTTCTTTGAAAAGTACACAATACAAAATATTTAAAAAATGTTCTTTTGGCCATGCCTCATGGCTCACACTTGGAATCCTAGCACTCTGGGAGGCCAAGACAGGCAGACTGCTTGAGCTCTGGAGTTCAAGACCAGCCTGAGCCAGGAGTGAAACATGTCTTTACTAAAAATAGAAAAACTAGGTGGACATTGAGGCAGGCACCTGTATTCCCAGCTACTTGGAAAGCTACGGCAGGAGGATTGCTTCAGGCTAAGAGTTTGAGGTTGCTGTGAGCTATGATGATGCCACCGCATTCAACCCCAGGGTAACAGAGAGAAACTCTATCTCAAAACAAACAAACAAACAAACAAACAAACAATATTCTCTATGTTGGCCATGTCTTCATAAAATTTTGTAATGACATTTGGTAAAAAATGTACATTTAGCTGCAATTTCCCTATGTATGGTAACTTTAGCGGTAACTTTCGGGACAATAATTAAGTCAATATATGAAACCTGATACATGAGTTTATAACGAAATCCAAAAAAAGAAAGTAAGAAGGTGGGGGAGTAGAAGGTTAGAAGGTGGTAGGAAGAAAAGTTCTTTACAGGGCGGCGCCTGTGGCTCAAAGGGGTGGAGTGCCAGCCCCACATACCGGGGCTGAAACTCAGCCCCCTGGCCAAAAAAATAAAAAACAAAGTAAAGAAAAAAAAGAAAAAGAAAAGTTCTTGGCT